GTGTGTGTGTGTGTGTGTGTGTGTGTGTGTGTGTGTGTGTGTGTGTGTGTGTATGTGTGTGTGTGTGTGTGTGTGTGTGTGTGTGTGTGTGTTTGACTGCTTTAAAAGTTGCAGTTTTCGGCGATGTTACGTTACACTGCTGTCTCAACGCCGCCAACTTTCCTCACCGCTCTTCGCTGCACACAGGGTCTCATCAGAGGATCCGGACTGTCGGGCCTGTCGTCCTCATCCTCCGCTTGAGCGTGACGCTGCTTTCACCGTGGCCTCTTCGGCCAGCATGGCAATCTTGCCGCGGGGTGCTTTTTTTCATGCACACATACACGCACACACACAGTCCTACATCATGGCTTCATGTCAAACAGGCATTGCGCCTCACTCTTCCTTCTCTTCTCGCCCTTGCTCGATGCCTTAGAGCGGTCTGCATTGTCTTTTTGTTCATTCATTCTCGTGTACTTGCGTGCTTTCCACCAACGATCAACCCTACGCTGCACCAACAAGTGTCCCTATCAAACAAACTCCAGCCAAGATGCCAAACAACAAGGGAAAGACATGCAATCAACACACACGCAAGCACACGAACACACACGCACACACACACACACTATCACACACACAATCACATTGGTGCTTCAATGTCGTCTGCATTAACGACAATAACGGATTCCGACAAACTGGACGGAGCGTTGGAGGATGGACGGTCCGCTCCTCCATCGCCATCAGGACTGCTGGTGCCATCACCATCACCGCTGCTTCGATCCAAACCTTGCTGCTGCTGCTGCTGCTGCTGATGTTCGTCGTTGCTTGTGGCGGCCGTGCTGTCCTTCTCAGCGCTACTCGCCTCCCCTCCCGCCACGTCATCATCGTCACCATCACCATCGTCATCATCATCGTCGTCGTCCTGTTGTGCGAGTGCGAGTTCCTGCGCAACATTGGGTCCACATGTGCGTATCGCCTCGCTGTCGCCAGCATTGCTCCCTCCAGCCGTTGCTGCTTCGCCATTCTTTGCACTGTCGGTGCTGAAATCACCATCCTCTTCTTGCTCTTCTTCCTCTTTCTCATCTTCTCGCTGTGCTTTAGTTGACGCCAAAGCTTCCACCTCACCGCTCCCCTCCTCCCCCTGCTCCTCCTGCAACTGCTGCGTCACGCCATCGTCTCCACCATCACCACTACCGTCGCCACCACTTGCACTACCATCATGTCCCCAATCACCATCAACAACACCAACACCTTCACTGCCGCTGGACTTCACGGCAATGGACGCGTGCGTGTGTCTGTCATCTGGAAGCCTGGCCAGCGCCAGCCAGAGCGGTGATGGGTCCTCTGTGTCCGCGTCTGCTGTAAACGCCTCATACCGCGTGCCAAAGTTCTCGCGTAGGACTTCCCTGTGCCCCTCTATGACTGACAGCGGCTCAAACGCCACCTCCGGCAGTTGCATCACGTTACCGCCCTCAATGGGAATGTCCGGTGGAGGCTTTGCCTGTCGACCCATGCGGAAGAATCCTCCACCTCCGCTGCCACCACCGCTGCCACGAGACTTGGACGGTTTGGAGGACGATACTGCGATGTCGTCGTTGTGCGTTGGTGGAGGTGGGCGAGAATAGATGAGCAAGAAATGCGAGCAAACATGCAACAGCATGCGACGGTTGACAAGTTGGTCTGCGAGCGTGTCGCACATGACAGCACGCTGGTGATGACCCTCTCCTCTCCAACACCAACACCAACACCAACACCAACACCAACAACAGCAACAACAGCAGCTGTGGGGACCTTTGCTCCTGCGATTCGCGTCGCTGCGCTGCTGCCGACCGCTGGCGGTCTTGTGACGCGCACGTGATGACGATGATGACGATGATGATGGCACCGCGGCTGATGATGATGATGGCTGTGGAGATGTTGAGCTGGCGGTTTTGTCTGCACCGTGCCACGGTTGAGGAGTGAATCAGTGCAAGTACGAGATGCAGCCGGGTGAGAAGAAGTAGTGATGGTCGATTGAACACAGCACAACCCACAAACACACACACACACACACACACATACACACACAACCACACACACAACCACACACACACACACACACACACACACACACACACACAGACACATACACACACACACACAATCACGACCTTGCTGGAGGTGTGCTGGAAGAGCGGATTCTTCCTCCTTTGTTGCGACGCGCGGGAAGTTTCGCGCCTCCAGCGGGAGACGACCAAGCAGCGTCAGGCACACCTGCAGGCAGCGAGGGGAGGTCAAGGTTGGTGTTGACGCGGGTTGTGTGGGAACATGTGATGAGATGCGTGGGGGGGCGGGAGGAGACCAGAGAATAGGAAGAGAACAGAAAAGAGAACAGAGGTACAGGCACGCACATGAAGTTTGCACCTTTCGAAGCTGGACGTTGAGGAGGAACATTTTGTCCGAGTCACGAACGCGGCCGTCTTGCGTAATGTTGGCGTCCATTTCCTCCATGGTTTCCTCCATTTCTTCGCCAAGCCGGACAAGCGCCTCTTGCACCCGCAGCATCTCCAACTGGAAAAAGGGAAAAGGAAAGGGAGTGGGGTCGGTATGAGCTCGCTTGAACGCTCACGCACACGCTCACGCACACACACACACACACACACACACACACACACACACACACACACACACACACACACACACACACACACACACACACACACACACACATTCCATACACCTACCTGTCTAAAGTCCTGGACGGTTGGCGCGAATCGCATGTTCTTGAGCTGCGGGGGCACGTCGGCGGGGGACGATATCCAGTGGGGCAGGTACGCGTCAACCAGACCCATGGTCCTGGTGGTGGTGGTGATTTCGAGGAATGGAAGAGTAAGTCAGGAGTGTCGAAGGAGTGCATATAATAACATACGCAAGTACACTTACACAAACACACACATCCACACACACACACACACACACACACACACACACACACACACACACACACACACACACACACACACACACACACACACACACACACACTTCGCTGTCACAACTGACCATTCTGTTGCCTGGGAGATGTAGTTTTGGAGCGAAGAGTCTTCTGGCTCGGTTGAGGCCGCTGGTTTCGGAACATATGCCCACCCGGCGGGATCAGGGTAGGACTGCACGGAGGACCACATGGAGAGGAAAGATGCGCAGTGAAAAACGCAAAAAATGAGCGAGTGAAAGAGAGGAAGAACGAAGGGCAAACGTTGTGTTGTTTTGAATGGAGTTCGGCGCAAATGAGAGCCAGCAACGAGTGATGAGAAACGTAAAGTCGAGTGTGTACAACACCAGAGCTGCACATTGACTCATTGTCGCCATAGCTTCCAAGCACCTGCGCCACTACTGTACCTTTGGTTGCCTGAGGTGGAGGGCCTTTTGGATGAGATATTGCACGTCCTGCACATTTGGGTAGCGCATGAGGATGCTCAGCGACTCCACGTAGTCGTGCTCGAGCACTGCAGATGGGGTGGCGGGCATGGACACGGAGGAATGGAGGAGGAGGGTTGATGTGAGGATGAGTGGACATGAAGGTAACGTGACGAAGTGGTGCACTGTTATACACACGCACACGCACACACACACACGTACACACACACACGTACACACACACACACGTCTCCGTACCGTAGTCCCTGATGTACATGAGCATGGCGAGGCAGAGGTAGTCGAGGAGAGCAAAGTCCGCCAGGAGCGCGTCCCACACCGCCAGCGTGGACTCAAACGCAAACTCGCGGCTGAAAAGCAGGCGGATCCATCGACTGGAAGAGGGGAGAAGGTGGTGAGCCGCGTAGGAGGGGAGATGTGAGCAGCATGGTCATGCTCACAGTAGCACGCAACGACACACGTGGTACACACACACACACGTACACATACGCACACACACACACGCACGCACACAAAAACAAAATCATGCTGAACTCACATGCCAAAGACCTGTGGAGGGATTTGCAACTCCTCCAACCGCGCAAACAATTGCGGATCGTGGCGTCTCACGAGCTCGTGCTGCAGCCTGAACACACACACACACACATGGTCACATGCACGGAAGGTGAGGTGGTGCGACAAGAGTACAGGCAGGCAGGCGAACAACGAAGTACACGTATGCACAAACACGCACACACACATGTACACGCATGCACAGCAGCACGCGCGCGACCGTTTGCTCACTTGTTCAATTTCTCCTTCAGTGGTGAATCCTTGGGAGGACTCGAGACGCTCCTCTGCACCGCACCACCACCGCCGCTGTTGCCATCACCGCTATCACTGCCATCGTCCTCATCGTCGTCCTCATCGTCGTCCCTGTTGTTTGGGTCGGGCTGAAAGTCTCGCGCGTGCTTCGTTCTGATCCAGTCCCTGGCAGACGTGGACCGGGAGAGCCCGCGACGCGACGACACGCTGCTGCTCATGCTCGTGTTCTGCGAGCGCCTGCCGTTGGTGTTGCTGCCTCGGTGTCTGCTGTTGCTGGCGGTGGCTGTTGTGTTGTGGCGGTGGTTTTCAATTTCGAAGAAAGGCTTCATTTTCTCCATGAGTTTGGAAAACGCGGCAAAGGCGTCGTGTACGACATACGCGCGATTCAGCACAACCTGCATCTCAGCCCTGTGTGTGTGTGTGTGTGTGTGTGTGTGTGTGTGTGTGTGTGTGTGTGTGTGTGTGTGTGTGTGTGTATGTGTGTGTGTGTGTGTGTGTGTGTGTGTGTGTGTGTGTGTGTGTGTGTGTGTGTGTGTGTGTGTGTGTGTGTGTGTGTGTGTGTGTGTAAGCGAAGGTAAAGACAGGGAGGTGTTACCCCCCCCCAAACTCCTCCATGTACATCTCACATATTGCCACACCCCTCCCCCTTCCCCCATCCATACGCGTAATCCCATCCATTGCCACCTCTCCACGTCACGCCATGACTCACGGGCGGATGTCTGCATCGTCAACCCTGATGCTCTCTTGGTCCAGCAGCATCAGAATCGGCGCAAGCAGCTCATGCATCCCCTGATGAACAGTGGTGGTGGTGGTGAAGTTGGAGAATGACAATCGAAAAACGTGATCCGTCATGGTGTGGAATGATGTAATGCATGACAGATGGAAATGTGATCATACACACGCGTGTACACGTATGAACACACGCACTCACGCACAGCTTCACGTGTGCACACACGGAAAACTATACATACGCACACACACACACACACGCACGCACAAGCGCCCACCTGCCGATAGCTGATGTCTGGGTTGAGTTTGCTGTAGCAGAAGAGGATCTGGGTCATCATGTCGTACACGCGGTCCGTGTGGAAGTAGCGAACCTCCGGGAACGTTCGTGTCACGTCCTGCAAGTGTGGGAAGGAGAAGGACGACGGTATTTCATGGGTGGATGCTGTGGTCAGTAAGAGGGGTTGTGACTGCAGCCGCATACACAATCGTGAACACACACACACACACAACTCACACACGTGCACGTACACGTACACGTACACGCACACACACACATCCACACAAAGCACGCACACACACACACACACACAAAGCACACACACACACAAAGCACGCGCGCACACAGCACTCCAGCGCGTGTACTGATGGTGTAGTTCGTGCTCACCCTGACAATGACGTCACGCAGCTCCTCGTCCTGGAAAAACTGGAACCAGGGGCTCTGCACCGGTGGAGACAGGGGTGTATGGGTGGGAGGCGTGGACGATGTGTTAAGGCATCCTGGGAAGGCGGTAGGCTGCTTCCTGTGTCGACAAACAAAACCACCATACACCAACAACACACCATACACACAAACAAATCACACATCACACATCACACACATGCACACCACACGTGTGCACACCTGCTCGTCCTGGGAAAGCGGGTTGTTGACGGTGAGATCTTGCATCGTGCTCGCGCGCGGGTCAACCATGTGCTGTCGACAGACAATGACAAATGACAAATGACAAATGACAAATGACAAATGACAAATGACAAACGACAAACGACAAACGACAAACGACAAACGACAAACGACAAATAACAAATGACAAACGACAATGACAGTGGCAGCGTTGGTGACGACAATGGTTGGTGATGAGGATGATGAAGCAAAGGATGGACGGACTGCGAGTCGGTGCGTTGATGAGTGGTTGAAACTGAATTCAATTCAAAACAAAACACCCAATCTCGGTTCACGGCGCCCGCGCCAATGCTCAATGCTGACACACCAGTAGCACATACATGTTCGCACCTGCTTGCGAATGGCCTCAAACTCCTGCCGCGATGCCTGCACGCACGCCGCCCACTCGTCCACATTCTCCGGCAGGGACCCCAGGAACAACTGACGGCAACGAAGAGGAAGCAAACGAAGAACAAAAGCAAGAGAAGGAAGAGAAGGATTAGGACGATGACGACGACGAAAAGCGAGTGCAAGGAGCACGAGAGGGGAGATGGTGAGACAAGTCAAGCAATTGGTGAGGAACAAGCCACAATGCCAGTGAGCATGCGTGAGCATGCGTGCGCGTGGACAGGACGTGTGGTCTTCATTTCATGTGCAACAAGCAGCACTGTGAACGATGTCAAATGGGCCCAAGGATTCGGCCGCGGCATGAGCACACACCCGCCAGCAGACGCCGCGGAACGGACACGTGGTCAACACGCCCATCAATGCCTGCGTAGAGAGGAGTGTGTTGGTCCAGTGAGAGATTACTATCGCGTGCCAGTGAAACGCGGCTCAAACACGCGCAGGAACAGGACAGGCAAACCAGCGTGGCGCACGCGAGGATGCCACACGCAAAGCAGCGAGCAAGGACAAACCACACAACCGCCGTCACTTCCACTTGGCATGCTGCTGACCTTGGACTTTAGGATGGCAAGGTAGTCGTTGCGGTGGAAGAGGGTGTTCCAGATGTCGGTTGGGGTGGTGGCCGGAGCAGCGGTGATGGAATCGTCCATTGGGTTTGAGGCGCCACGAACCTCGCTTTCCTCAATCGCCGACGCATCGGGGCCGCTTTGGCCTTGGCCAGTGTCGCCGCTGCTGCCGGCGCCTGCGCCTTGTCTTTGGGTGCGGCTCGCATTGGTGGGATTCGCTTTTGCAGAGTCCATCACGACGGCACGCACAAGTTCCATGTCATCTTCCCAAGGTACGGACTCAAAGTCATACACATCCTTCTCATGCATGGATTCGGACGCCACCCGCGTTCCCTGCAACGATGTAACGTGATAGCGTTCAGAAACACGGTAAGCATTGAATAGCAACTCGCCCGCAAACACACAAGGCACACGCACACGCAAAGCATCTGAAGCTGAAAGGCTGGCACACCCACAACATACACAAAGACACGAACACATATCCAGACACACATACACACACGTACACACACATACACACACAGACACACACAGACACACACAGACACACACAGACTCTCTCTCTCTCTCTCTCGCAAACAGTCACACCCACACACACATACACCCACACACATACACCCACACACATACACCCACACACGCCGACCTTGACAAGGCGAGCCTTGCGTTCCTTGAAGATGCGCACAATCTCCTTTGCTTGCTGATCATCCCGTTGCGCCACAAGATCTCGCACGGCATCCTCCAGCGCCTTGATCTGCGTTGCAGTGGAACACCCGTTGATACGGGCAACCAGCGCCTGACACTGCTCGTCCATCGCCCCGCCCGCGTTGTGATGGTGATGAGGGTGATGTGGGGAAGGAACGGTGGCTTTTGAAGCGCGAGACACACAAGCAGCACAGACAGGCGATGTTTGTGTTTGTCGCCGCTGTGGTTGGAGGGGGGCGATGTGTCAGCGCTCAATTTGTGGTGTCGCAGACTGGAAAATCGTTGGGGCGCCGCCGCCGCGCTCCGTTCAAATCCATGAGCGATGAGTGATGGCAGTGCACTGGTGCAGGGCGTGCACGCGTGTGTTGCGGCTCATCGCTCGCGTTGACAGCAGCACCAGCCCCCGAGGGAGAGGAATCCGAACTGGGTGGATTCATCACGTATTGGTGTGTGTGTGTGTGTATGTGTGTGCGAGGAAGTTGTGTTGTGGTGTGGTGTGACAGTGAGTGAGACAACAACACTAACAGCGTCGCGGTTTTCGATGATGATGATGATGGGTGGTTCCGAAACGGCCCCACCAAAAAGAAGCAGACAGCTGCAAGTTTCTGTTGTGGCGAGCACGATGTCAATGCCTTGATGGGTAAGAGGTTGGTGGTTTGGAACGCCTGTTTCCGTACTCATTCATCTCATGCAGTTGCTGTGGAAGGGTTGCATGCTCGAAGCTGCATTTACACGCGCATGCACACACACTCATACAGCGTGCTTCTCACTGCGCATACCACATCACACATCATACATCATACATTACACGCAGCACACATACACACACACACATCACATCGCACACACACACACATCACATCACATCATACATTACACATCGCATGATGGCCCACACATCGTGGCCATGTCTCTGCCTTGCTCAATGGGCGGTGCTGATTGCAGCGTTGGCTGCCGCCTTTACATCAGCGCCTGCTGCTGCTTGGGTAAACAACTTTGATGCTACCTTTGACTACTCCTGCAGCGCATTCGTTGGCGTCACCAGCGAGCACAGCAACTTGAACGGTCTGGCGCGTGCAGATGATGTGTGTGCGTGTGTGTGTGTGTGCGGATGATGATGATGATGATGATGATGTGTGTGTGTGCGTGTGTGTGTGTGTGCGGATGATGATGATGATGATGATGATGTGTGTGTGTGCGTGTGTGGATGCACTCGTGATATATTGTGATGTGTGTGTGTGTTTGTGAGTGTGACAGCCTTTGTGCTTGTCGGGGTTGTACGCGCCTGCTTGTGCTTTGGCAACGAGGCCTTGTCTTGCAATTGGTTGCGCCGCCACAACTCACATTCTCGCCACATGCGTGTGCGTCCCTGTTTGGTAGAGGACCGACGATGGAGCTTCACGTGCGACACGCTTGGTGCGGGCAGCAGCACACCGACCACGTTCTTTACGGGCTACTATTCCGAGGGATACTACGACCAGGCCATCACGTACAGCTGTGGCACCGATTTGTGTACGTCTTGCTGGTGACAACGAAGAAGAGGGTGGTGGTGATCGACATGATGCTGGTGATGGTGATGATGTGAGAGGTCAGCCAGCAACAAGCAGAGCAGGGTGAACATCCTTGACACAAAAATACACTCACACTCACACCATGCGCATATGTCCATCCATCCCGTGCATGCATATCGACCTGAACCAGTCCTGAACCGGCTGCAGTCCCAGCACTCCAACAATTATGAGGACCGCATTTTCGCGTTTGGATGCGCATCTGCCCCTGGTGCCAAGCTCTTTGGCTGCACATACACGGGCTACCTCAACGGCATGGATGGCCTGCTCAATTTCAACGCCGCGAGCAACCAAGTCCTTGCAGGTGCGTGCGTGTGTGTCTGTTTGTTTGTTTGTTTATATGTTTGTTTGTTTGTCTGTCTGTTTGTCTGTTTGTCTGTCTGTCTGTCTGTCTGTCTGTCTGTCTGCGTGTTTGGAGCCATGTCTATTCAGTGTCGCGTACTCTCACGCGTTCCGTGTCTGATCGTGCCTGAACCACCAATGCCAGGGCTGTCAAGCTATCATGACAGCGGCGTAAGTGAACCATGGTTTGAAATGTGTTGCCAAAGGCAATGGATTCGCGCACATGCTGTCGTCAAACCTGATTGCCAGATGTAATCTTTCACACATACACACACACCAATACAAGTCATGCACGCATGCTCACGCAAACCACACACATACACAAATGCTTGCCTTCCTCTGCAGCCGGAGGACCGCGTGTGGAGGGTGCGGTATTGCGAAGTTGGGTGTGATCTTGACGGCAACTACATCAACGACGCAACAAACCCGCGGCAGTGCACAGGTGAGGCGGTGGGGCGCAATGCCCGCGAACAGGGCGCTGTGTGTGTGTGTGTGTGTGTGTGTGTTGGCAGTAACCAGTGCATTGCCTTCGTAACCAACCACATACATGCACACGCGCGCGCTCACATGCACACTCACACGCACGTACAGCGCTGACGACGGCGACGCTCGGAAGCGACATTGACTTTGAGAACGCGGCAGAGGAGACGTTTGCGTCCGAATGTCCCGATTTCCAGGCGATGAAGATCTTCTACTCGGAATACGACAGCGCAACACGTGCGGGGAGCTTGCGGCCGTGCTTGTTGACGGTGCTTCAAGTGTGCGGGCGTGTTTATGCGTGAGCCTTTGCCCCTGGAAATGTGTCTAACATGCCATCTGTTCATTCACCTTATGCGTTGCTGTCACTTACTCCCTCACACACGCATGCGCGCACACGCACACACGCATATGCACATACGCACACACGCATACGCACACCAGAGGACCGCTTGTTCCAGCTCGGGTGCAGCGCCATTGCGGATGGCGGGTCTTTCCCGCGAAACGCCTGGTCGTCAGCAACATATGGCAACCTGCAGGCGTTTTTCGACTTCACGTGCCCACCAAACACATGTGCGTGCTTTCGTGTGGGGTGTGTGGGTGTGTGGGGGGGGTGTCTGTGTCTGTGTGTGTATGTGTATGTGTGCTTATGTGTGCTTTGCCCACATTTTTGTTTGTATGCTCCTGTGTTGCATGTCATGCCATTTGCGCGACACACGTCACTGCCGAATCATCTCACAGAACCAGCATCACATCACCGCCACGAACACCCACATGTTTCCAACTGCCACAGTTGTGACTGGCATGCGTTCCCAGTTCATTTCATCATCGCTGGATCGCGCGTACTCCTTCCAGTGCAGCTCAGCCCCAAACACCGATGTCTCTACCACCACGTGCATCACCACCACCAGGAATTCGCTGTACGCAACCGTGGACGTCTTCGTCAACGAGACTTACGCAATCACCGGTGGGTGTGTGTGTGTGTGTGTGTCTGTGTCTGTGTGTCTGTGTGTCTGTCTGTGTCTGTGTCTGTGTCCGTGTCCGTGTCTGTCTGTGTCTGTGTGTTGGTGGGTATCGATGTGGTTGAAACGGTGTGACTGTTGCCGCTTGTCTCACCAATTGTCCCTTTGTCACCCTCGAGCATTACGAGTTGCTGATTGCGCTGTGCTCGGAGTATGCTCACATGCACACACACACGCACATGCACGCTTACATGTCTGCGCTCATGTGAACAATTGTCAACCTCAGGTGTCAACGCCTTGTATGATACGTCTGGCAATGTCGACCGCCAGTTTTCCTTGACTGCTTGCCAGGTACATGTGTGCGTTGATGTGTGCGCGTGTGTGTGTGTGGTGTAAGCGTAGATGTGCATGCGTGCGTTCGTGTGTGTGTGTGTGTGTGTGTGTGTGTGTGTGTGTGTGTGTGTGTGTGTGTGTGTGTGTGTGTGTGTGGTTGTGTTCAACTACTGTACGTGCACTCACTGTGAAAACGTTTTGCTGTGTACTGTGCGACAGCTGGAATGCCACACTGGATTCAGGCTTGACATTGATGGCGTGTGCCGAGGTGCGCTGGTGGTGGTGGTGGTAGTGGCAGTGGTGGAGGTGGTGTGTATTGCTTGTGTACCTGTAGTTGGTTGTTAGAATTTGGCGTATTCTCATGTACTTGTGGTGATTGGATGCTGTATAGAGATCACCACGACAACAACGACAACAACAACTACAACCACAACAACAACAACAACCACTACAACTACTACGACCACAACAACGACAACAACAACTACAACCACAACAACAACAACAACCACTACAACTACTACGACCACAACAACAACAACCACTACAACAACCACAACAACAACCACAACAACAACCACCACTACAACTACAACAACAACAACCACAACCACTACAACCACTACAACTACTACGACAACAACCACCACTACAACTACAACAACAACAACCACAACCACAACCACTACAACCACTACAACTACTACGACAACAACCACTACAACAACAACCACCACTACAACTACAACCACTACAACAACAACCACTACAACTACTACTACAACCACGACTACCACGACCACAACAACAACCACTACAACTACAACAACAACTACTACTACGACAGCAACAACAACTACTTCTACAACCACTACAACAACAACCACAACAACAACCACTACAACTACCACCACCACTACCACAACAACAACCACTACAACTACCACCACCACTACCACAACAACGACGACGACGACCACTACTACTACAACTACCACCACCACTACCACAACAACAACAACCACTACTACTACAACTACAACCACCACTACCACAACAACAACAACCACTACAACTACTACTACTACAACCACGACTACCACTACAACAACAACCACTACAACAACAACAACAACCACTACAACAACAACAACCACAACAACAACAACCACGACAACAACAACAACAACCACTACAACAACAACAACAA